TTTTAGGATTAATCAAATTTGAGATGTGTGTATTCACAACTACCTAACTTACTTTACAATCAATCAAGGGGAAAAGTGTGCATAAGGAAAATAACAATTTTACTTACACCATGGAGATTTTTTCTTTGATTCTTTTTATTTCCTACTGTATCAGGATTGACTGCTGCTATATTTCTTTTCTTTGGATTTTCAAGAGACCATTCACTGTGTTTCGTATTAGAAATAGTATGGCATTCTTGTGTACAGACCTGTTGTGGCGAGTGATTCTCACATATAGATTCAAATTGAGGTGAAATGTTGTCTTTCTCTATTACCATACAAACATCATCTTGATTTTTTTCTGTAGCACTGTTTGTATCTGCATCTACATTGATAACTCCACTTAAAGTAACATTCAGTTCCCGTGAAAAATGTTCTGTATCCTCAACATCTATACAGGTATCCTGGTTATCTAATATTAACTCTTCAAAATGTTCTGCATGTAAATATCCTGGGTTTATCTCATTGCTACATGAAGATTGGTCAGCAAATGAAACATGCTTTTGTGAAGTAGAGTTTATAGAACAATCTGCAGTAGTACTTGCATCATTCACTGATGCTGTCTCAATGTTAATTAGGGGAGAAATAATTGCATCATTTTCAACAGATACTGCCTGGGCAGGACTTTCAACTTCTGCATCTATTTCAGTTGTAAAAACACTTGCTGTGTTTTCAGAATTTTCCTGTGAATTATTATCACTTGTAGGTTCAGCTGGGCTCACAGGTCCAATCTCTTCAACATCAGAATCTAGCATAATATACACAGTTTTACTTTGAGTTCTTGTATCCCACAATGCTTTTGCACTGTATGAGAAAGATCGTGATACAATTCTTAACTGCATATATCCAGCACGAGGTATATTTATATGTCTGTAATGACCAGTATAACTTGGGTATGCATTCATAATCAGAGTCATAATCTCCTGATTTGACCGCATCTCACTCCATTTATTTTCAAGGCATAGATCTCCTTTAAATAAATAGTTTCCATCCCAGGTGTGAGCATTACCACCGCTATCACTGATAACTTCCTGATGATATTTCAAAACACACAGTTTTAGATGATAACTTTTTGAGCGTGTTAAGTAACCTTTGACAAGAGGTTGACTCTTCAATGTTGTTTTGTTTTGTATCTTCTTCTGTGGAGATTTCACTGAGCTAGGCTGTGAACGACCCGAAAAAAGCCTGTTGACAGCAGAACTCACAGTAGGCGAATTGATTGTCTGAAGAGTCTGCTGTAAATCCATACTTGTATACTGCAAATAAGGACAACTATTTGTTACTTAGATATGAGATACAGGTATCAAGTACATGTACTATATGTCACCAAAAATGAGAATACGTTAATATTCTATAATTATTTCAAAACTCATAATTTATTTTAAGATTAATGTCATCATTTAGTACACTACAGACACAGCATCTATAATAAATCTCACAAACTGTACATTGTGATGTGGGTTGCATGTTTTCTCATGTGATTTTGAGAAATTAAGTTATCCACAACACACTGATAAACCCCCAAAAAATTCTAATTTTTCATAAAATGATACTAAAGGCCATGATACATGGGAACACATTTGTTGCTAACATTTGTTGGCAACCTATCTCCATCTGCCATATTAGGCAATGTATTGCCAACAAATGTTGACTGTTTTTTTTATCATTAAATATGTTGTCAGCATGTACCATGACCTTAAGCCCTTAAAAAAACATTGAAACAAACCAAATATTGTATATTAGACTACATGTGGATGTATTTATCACAGTCATCTAAAATGACAAAAGAGCACCTACTACTGTACTACATATAAATTTTTTAAACATTCTTTATCTGTGTGTTGATTTTTAGCATTAGTTATTAGTTGTGTAATAAAGAAATATTAAAACTGCTGATTAGGAGATCAGGAGCAACCTGTTTAACACACTTGTGGCACATACAATTCAGATTTATATAACCAGTGTGAGTAACCAGTCAAATTTTGTAATTGTCATCACAGCTTACATGACAGCTTTACAACCCGTTACCCCCCCCCCCCACACTTTCCTGCTTGAACAGCTTAAACAAACTGAAGGTTCTCGGCTCATAACACTATTTCGCATTGTAACAATAATACTGTAATCAATTAGCAGAGTAGCTGCAGTTGCGTCCCTCAATATTGCGACAGACACTTGATTTTTAATTTCTTTTTACTTATCTGACATTTTCGCAAGATTGACGGGCAAGGAATACCAAATAAAAATACTCGGCCTAAGAGGGCTATGAAACAACAGCTATAAGCAGAGTTACATTCTTGTATTAAATGTTTATCATAAGCTGGTCACTAATGCCATCACTCGCTGTTATGACGGATAAACACCGGAGTTGGTACGCAAGTTAAAAATAAGTAGTTTTCCAGCCAAAATCAGTTGAAACGACGATATAGTTATAAAAAATTAATTTGAAACGACTAGTAAAGGGAAAATTGTAAACACGTAGGTACCGATGAATCATTCACCAAACGCTGCCATTTTTAATTTAATTGAATCTTTTGTTTTTAAGGCAAAGTAGCTGATTTCATACACAATTGAACTCCGAACTGGGAGTGTTGGATATACGTGTTAATCGATCATGGTTTTTGGTACCTGGGCATGCTATTTCATTAAAAAGTTATAACTTGGCTAATTATAATCAGAGAA